GATGGGGCGGACATGCAGCCACAAAAGGATGTATTAACATGTCATTGCAACACATAAAACATGTCACGCGGGGTAGGGTTGCGACACTTTCATTAATATTGTAATATTATTAAAGATAACAAGATAACTAAATAAAAAATCAATTTTAAATTTTCAAAAATGTTTATTTATAGGAAATAATGACGGAAGAGATAATTCCGTCAAGGTAAATAGTTTATTTCTAGTCTATAGTTCTAGAAATACTTATTTCAATTTGAAGAATAAGTCAGTATTTTAGTAAAGCTTTACAAAAGACTCAGGCCACTACCACAACACCAAGCCTAAAGCGAAGTTTCGCTAAAGAACTTCAGTCTGTACTTTTTTAATATATTAGGTTAGGTGAACTTAAATTAAACCTAGTATAATGTTTCGGGGATTAATTCAAAAGTCACAGAATCCGCCGGGTATGGCAATGAAGATTTTATACTAAAGCTTACATCAATATCATTAATACATAAACATATTACATTATTGTATTTTAAAGTAGCTATCCGGGGCGAAAAATAAGTCAACCGCGTTGATAAATATTCAGGGTTAGAGCATTACAATTTCCATTAAAAGTACTTGCGTTCACACAGACATGTTAGATCCTAATGGAAAATAATTAACTTAACAATGACTGTTTTATTTAGGTTAATTTGGTAAATATAATGATAAATCTTTTCCGAAACAATATTAGTAAGTCTTGTAAATAGGAACAGTAAGTTCTTTTCTTTAATACCGTTGTTGGCAACCTTTAAAAATAAGGGGGACTGGTATAAACTTTGCCTCTGCGAGATGCATAAAGCCTCCATATCCATTGTTTAGCTTACAAGTTGTTAACACTTGTTGTCTATGGTTACTTATGGCGGATTGTTTTATAATTCATTGTCTATGGTGCAGCAAAAAGTTAACAATGTTCACATAACAACAGCTTCTGTGTTACCAAAAAGCTAGGCTATTTTGTTTAGCTCAATATCGTCACAATGCATGGAAGCATATAATTTTTCTATATTTTAAGTCGTAATCGTTACTATTTTTAAATATGTTCAATTCCGTTTGTATTTTACTCTACTTTATTCATGCTTTTTAACTTTGATATATATGCTCTATTCTATTAATCTGTAGGTCGTCAGTTTGTTGTTGCATAGGACCTGCTTCACATGGTGTAACTCCTCATTTATTTGGGCAGCATCACAGAGACGGCGGGCTCTCTGAAACAAAGATACTCCGACAGTAGGTACTAAGTTGGCGGGGGTGGTAATGTGAGTCACCATTCAAATACCTATCTGTATGGATTGTTTTTCTAAAGACGGCATGCCCGATATTACCGTGTTCGTCACGGTAATTAGGTTAAGTAATTCGATAAATCTATTATTAGATTTCATCTATACAGCCTTAAATGTAATTGGTCATATATCTTACATTACTTATTCTTCCGGCCAGCAATCTTTTTATCGAGATAGGTATACCTATGATGTTCGTTTAGTTTTACAATAAGGTTCAATGAAATTCTTTTTATATATATATATATATATATCTGAATGATAAACGAATTTGATGTCTACTTGCTAGATGGTGAAACTCTCTGACCATATAACATCGCAGTTTAACATTCGCAAATCCACAGACTGCGGAATGAGAATTACCACTCTACTTTTATATTGTGAACGGTCGTTTATTAAGATCTACCACCTATTGACTGTGTAGATCTCCCAGAGGATGGTTTTAAGGAAATGAGATAACGTGGGCGCTACCACAGAGCAAGTGCGATAAACTAATTAGGATTAATCGATCCATAAAATAAATAATACAACGCTCGGTTAAGCACTAACAACACCAACGAACCATCACATTCAATCCGAGAGGATGTAATCAAAATCATACAAATGACGTCATCCATCATACAACAGGTAAGGCAATGCTCAGGCCCCCATTAAGGTAATCAACTGTTACATTTCTATTAAGACATTAATCTGTACGGGTCTAACTATGTTTTAATTATGGGCCACGGGCGAAACAGCTGGATGTTCTTTATAATTATAGAGTTCGCGCCGACGTGCTCCGTTCACTCGCAAAGAAGCCCTGGCGCTAGCCGGTCTTGCATTTCTAGTAAAACGCAAGAAAAGTAATAAGTTTTATAGCGATTTATTACTTTTATAGAACGGTGCTACAGTTAAATATTGTCTGTAGTTTACGCGTTTTACACATTTTAATAAAACACTTTTAAGTATTTAAAAGCAGCTGATTGAGCAGTCATATCGTCGGGCTGCATTTGAAATAAATTGTAAATAAGTTATTTTTCGTGTTTTTAAACCGTTAAGAGTGTTTTATTTAAATGTGTCGACTACAAAATATAAGATAACACTGAATACCCTGAATTCATAATCTCTAATTGCATAGAAACTTTAATTTCTTAGTGTAAGCGCAATTTACTGACTAAAGTTGCTTTGAAGATTTTAAGTAACTGTCTATTTTTTTTTTTAAGAATACTTTATGTTTTTACACGGCACGGTAAATTACAGATAGTCGGTATGACAAGCAAGGAGCCGATCTATTGTATCATGGAGTAAACGTAGCTCCGTAGAGGCGTATTGACGCCTCCGAGTTGCCGACGCGGACGCTACGATTCCTATTTCCAAGCAGTGTTATTGTAATTAGCCTTAGAATTAGTTCTTTGGAAATTAAACTTAATTATATGAACATTCGTAAGTCGATGAATTGTAATGCAACTGGTGTATTGAGAGTTCTGCATAAACCGAGCATAGAGATGCTTAAGAGTAAAACAATTTTAAATGTAAAACTTGTATTATGTTTGGTGTGTTTAGTTACTTGTTGAATCAAATTTCTCTATTAATGAATTAATATTCGATAAATTTTGTTATTGTTTTATATTTTAATTGGTGTTTCAGTTTCGATATATACTATAAGTAATCGTAAGCCGGTTGCAATATATAGAATATACCTACATTTTTGTAGATATTTGAAGAAAATAAAAATGACATTTAAATAAAACACTTTAACGGTTTAAAACGCGATATATTAGTTAAACTTATTTGAAAGTGATTTTTAACTTCGGCCCGACGTTTCGGATGCTTTGCAGCAGCCGTGGTCACGGGGAGACTAAAGATGGAGGATGTCTCTGACGTCTCAGTAAAAAGTTGCTACGTTAGCGCCATCTGTTCCGTCGAAGTTGGTATTTGGCGAAACTGGCCGGCCGGGTCCTTACAGTATTGACTAACGGTGTCTTCGCGTTTGCCGTTAAACCGTTAAAGTGGTTTACTTAAATGTGTACTACTCGCGTAAACTATAGACAGTATTTAAATAAAAATCACGTCAAGTTTAACAAGATGTCAATTCTTGCTCTGAAATTTAAACTATACCTACTCACTTTTAAAGTGCAAACTAATTGTCTTTTTCAGTATTACCGCCAGTAAACTTTAAAAAAAAAACAAAAAAATTTTGACCTTACACATTGAACTTTTAATGTACAAGTCAATCGCCAAAGCTTAAAGACAAACACGACGCATACTCGAAGAGCATACAATTAATGTCGATTTCATGCCATTACCACCGCATTTACGGCAAGTACAAACAGTTAACCAATGCGAACCGAAGTTATTTTCACAATTATTTCTGACAAGTTTACGTGTTGGTTGAACAACAGAATAATACCGCCATTTCCACTCAAGTCCGCGCTTGCGGCATCTATTCCCGCGCTGTTACCACAGATTATAGAAATGTCAGTGAAGATATACGTAGATTATTTTATTACACCTTTCATAACTATAATTGACCACAGCACATTGATTATTTATATAATTGTATCCTACAAGGGTAATAGTAAATCTGTCGACAACTTATATACATCTGTGTAATACATAGACAATAGATTAGAATCCCTGGTGGAAATTCATGAACTGTTTTGAGAAACAGATTTTTAGGAACGTCTCTCTAAATACATAGAACCTGGAAGCAAATATTTTTTATCTCTAGTAGTACCAGAGCGAAGAAATTCCTATTCCCAACTGACCAAAATCAGACTGCAAGCACCAAACGGGACACCCGCTACATTTAACTTAATTTGCCATAATACCCCGGGACAGATACTTAGTCTGATCGATGTTAATGGCTTTTATTGATACAAGTTATAGTTTACTATCGGTAGTTACGATGCTAAATTACGTTAATATGTATCTCCATTTCGCGCGCTCGTGAGATCTTCAAATAGCTGCCTGGGTGTTATTTGTTTCCTACAGAATTTACATTTCACACAAATTGATTGGCATATAAATTGTTTTAAAGATTGAGACGGGCTTTATAATTTAAACTTAGTTGACTACTGACGGTTGTAAATTAATTTCAAAAAAAATTGGAAATTACATAGCCTTCGAAACTAAAATTATATATCTACATACTAATTTTTATCTTTTAGGAAATTCAATAAAAAGCAACCTAAACGTACTATTTTATTTGAAATCGTAACGTGTTTGATGTCTTTCCCTTTTCCAGTAATTGGTTGCTCAAGCCTCGAAATCCAATTATGGCGCCAATTACTGAGGAGGAACAGACTATACAAATTTATTGCGCGCCATTTTGCATAATTTTGAAATGTTTGTCATAGAAAATTATTATTCATACTGAAGGTTTTATTTTTAGGAATTCATAAATAATAATAAAATAATTTCTTACGTTAATAGTCTAAAAAAAAAAAAAAAAAAAAAAAAAAAAAAAAAAAAAAAAAAAAAAAAAAAAAAAAAAAAAAAAAAAAAAAAAAAAAAAAAAAAAAAAAAAAACCCCGCCCGGAAAAAAAAAACCCCCCCCCCCCCCCCCCCCCCCCGGGGGGCCAAAACCCCCCGCCGGGGGGGGGGGGAAAAAAAAAAAAAAAAAAAAAAAAAAAAAAAAAAAAAAATTTTTTAAAAAAAAAAAAAGGTTTATTTAAATTTCTTACTTAAAATTATTTTGTTTTGTAAATATGCATAATGATAATACCAATGGACGGATATTGTTATAAACAAAATGTTAAAATAATTAGGTATATTGATATTACCTAAATACTCGATGAAGATATCAAAAAGATGAAAATGAGTCGATTAGATTATTGCTGCTGCCATCTGTTGCAAAATAGCAACAAGAACAACGGCTTGCTTTTAGTGACATCTGCTGAGCGCTAGCACGTAGTAAAAGTTGGTAAAATAAATTAATGATGTAATGTCCGATAAATTCATAAACAAAAAATATTTTACAAATTGTTTAACGTAACGGTTTATAATAAACATGCTATTGTAGCTTATTTTCAAGAAATGTACTTTTTATTTCTTGCCATAGACATCAACCGATGGAGTAAAAGATTCACTACTACATCTGTGGATGTTTCCGGAGTGCATTAGCCAAACAAAACTTCGCTTCGAACTTGTATTTTTATTTGATTGTAAGGTGTTTTAAAATTTGTTTGCGTAGGTTATGTAGTTGCAAAAAATTACTTAGTGAATAATATAGAAGTTAAACAATTTTTTTATTAAAAACTCAAATAAAACTACCTCACGATGTAAGTTTCAAATTCTTTACAATTTAAGAGCACAATATGCTTTCATTCTTAATAAATATTTCGTTTTAAGGAGTTTTGCCGATTTAGCAACAATCGCATTACACAGGCGCAACGAGTTGGACAGTAGAATAAAAACTTTTCTCGGAAAATGTGACTTATCCATACAGAATATTGTCAAATTGAAATGCGAGGTAGGTATATTTCCTTTTCATAAATTAAGTCAAAATCATAAAATAAATCATAGAATAAAAAATGTAAATTAGATAGTTATAAGCTTCTAACGACTTCAGTAATTAAAACATTGGAAAAATTACTAGGCATACTAAATTGGGTGATACCTACCTACCATTCAAAATGTATACTATCTAAGTTTCCCTAAGCAGGTTTGTTGTACCAAAATAAATTTGATACACTAAAAAATTTAATAGTTCTAATAGTTGATGTACAATAATAATTTATATCCATTTGTTTCCCAGGTCCAAGGACTGATGAACAAACTGAACTGTGAGCCATCTGATCTAAAGCAAACTTTTCTGAATTGCGCAAAAACTATAGATGAATATACATATTTAATAACTGATTTCAACATTGCGATTGAGAATTTAGGTAAGTGCCATATTAATACAGTATCTTCTTCAATGTAAGCTGATGGGAAATTGGATCAAACAGCTGTCTTTGTAGTGGAAGGTGTCTTCAGTAGTTCAATTATTGACATTTTGACAAAAATTATTGAGTACAGATTGATGAACTATGAAGCACATTATGTGTTAAATACAATATTTACAATACAGACATTGCTATAATACTTTGTATGTGTTTCTTGTTTAGTTAATATTACTATAAGTTTTAGGAAAGGGATCTGTTGATTTGACACCAGTACTAGATACAACAAATAAATTGATCCCGAAACAAGTGAACCCTGTAAACATAATAGACATGCTGACTGAACCTGTGCCGTCCACTTCAAACGCCTGCGTAAACAACTGCCAAGTACCAAAACCGATAAAGAAAAGGATACCCAAGGAGGAGCAGCTATTAATATCCTTTTCAAGTTCTTCGTGCTCAGCGGAAAGTGTTCCAATTATTACTGATAGCACCGCAGAACTTACTGACGGAGTTAAGGATATAAGTTTAGGTGAAGATTTTGATTTAACCTAGGTAGATATTTTACAAGCAAAAATTCTTCTATTACAAAATAATGTGTAAAATACCGTGTGTCAATTTTTTCAGTCTTATGAATTGATAAAATTACTTTACAGTCTTTAACATGAAATGTTTGTAAAATGATTACTTTTATCCATTTTATGGGGTGACAATATGAAACAATTCACCTGACTGGTTAGAGATTAAGATATCTATTTACACTGAATAATTTACAAAATCACTTAAAGAGACTATATATATTAACATTAAATAAAGTTCTAATAATAACCAATACTATCTGTGGGTCGAGACAGAATTTCTCCATTCCTTCCCCATTTAATATTCAGAATAGGTACAACTATTTCAGAAAAATTATAAATTGACTAGCTGTGCCCGCGACTTTGTTCGCGTGGAATAGTGTCTTGGGGTAGAATTTTTAATTATTTAGGCTTTTTATTAATTTATGTAATTGCGTATTTATCACAGCCAATCTATGTTGTAGGTGCTACTTTGCCGCAACACTCTCACCTCACATCACTCCTACTCCCAATCCCACTCCTATTCCCAAAAAGCCAAAGAAGAAAGTTTCAATGTTCTATCTTCAAAAACCACGAATTTCCATACAAACTTTCACCCCCTTACAACCCCCTTTTCGCAATAAAAAGCCTATGTTCTTTCTCAGGGTCTAGACCATATGTGTACCAAATTTCATTGAAATCCGTTCAGTACTTATGGCGTGAAAGAGTAACAGACAGACAGAGTTACTTTCGCATTGATAATATTAGTAAGGATTGGTACAATGGAACAGGTTCAAAAATTTTCTTATAGAACTCTCAATCTTGATTATTAGCCATACATTTAAATAAAATACTTTAACGGTTTAAAACGCGATATATATTAGTTAAACTTATATGGAAATCATTTTAATTATGGTCCGACGTTTCGGATCTTAGCCGTGGTCACGGTTGAACGAACGAATATTAGGTTAAGAGCTTCAATGAAACAGGTCAGAATGTCAAAAAGTTTAAAATATTTTTCTAACCTCTAAGGCGTGCCCGTGACAAAAAAATTAGACTCATTTTTTGGCTAAGATCATTCTATCATATTTTTTTTACTGTTTCTTGAGTTATTTTTCCAGCGCACGCAACATAAGGCCCACAACGATGAAAATTCCCACAACGATGAAAATTCCCACAACGATGAAAATTCCCCATTTTTTACACACTTTCTGCTGTTTCTTCAACTCCTATTGGTTGCAGCATGATACAAAACTTTCTATATATCTATTATATAATTTGTTGTGTTTTCCAGATCCCATAATGGAACAAATCAAGAACACTAATATACCGGCCCAGGTCATGCTGCAAGTAGACAAACAGTATCCCGGAGTCATTCTCTATGTTGACGGCATATCCTTCTGGATGGCCACTGGGAGTATTGACCAGACATTTTTGTAAGTTAATTTTATATTGTTTAAGATTGAGAAAGTAATTTAGTATATATATCTTAATGGGTGAAATAGGATGACATGGTGTGGACTGCCCGGTCAATAGGTGTCCCCGATAAATCATAATTATATTATTATTATTTTCTTTCGGGGACACCTGTGGCAGGACGGGTGATCAGTCCACGTTATCAGTTGACCATTTCACCCATTTCCTCCTTGCAGAGGTTTCGGGTCATCCAACTCTCCCCATGTCCCCTTCAAACCTTCCGGTTTGCTTGCAGAATCTTATTATTTTTTTCCATCTGTAGTTCTTTGATGTCATCTTCTGTAACTTCGTCCGAACCCATATGTATTTGTCTCAGTCTCGAGTACGCAGAGCATTCAGTGAGTAAATGGATGCCTGTGCACTTTGCTCTGCACTCCGAACATAGGGGGTCGCTGCCTATTCCTATCATTGTAAGATGTCTATTTAGACGGCAATGTCCTGTTATGATTTCTACCATGAGTCGGATATTCGCTCTCGTTAGTCTCATCAGGCTTTTGGTCTTCTTTTTATCTAGGCTATGTATGAATATCTTCGACTGTCTTATTCCAGTCGAAGATTTCTTGTATGTTTGTTTCTTGTATGATTTTGCGCTCTATTATTCCCGTTGTTACTTTAGATGCTATCAGAATTCTCGGTTCCGGCCCTACCAGGCTTTCATCGGCTCCTTCGCGGGCGAGTTCGTCCGCTCTCTCATTGCCAATATTTCCTTGGTGTCCGGGGACCCAGGCAATTGTCACTTCTGCCTGATCAGTTAGTTGGCCCAGTGCTTCCTAACATTCTTTGACAATAGCGAATGTTGTCTCTTCTTTGCATAGCGCTTTAAGTGCCGCCTGACTGTCTCTGTAAATTGTAACACTTGACAGGAGTCTTAAGTGCCTGGCAATCTCTGCACATTCCATGATGGTGAATATCTCCGCCTGGAATACGCTAACAGGTTTCCCCAGTGGGATTGATCTAGTTATCTCTGTCCCGTCCTCGCATATCATGTATATGCCTGACCCAGAGAGCTTTTGTCGTTTCTTTCCTGGCACCATCTGTGTAGCATACTGTGCCCACATTTATGCGTCTATTCTCCACTTCTGCCTTTCCCCAATGTGGATTCTGTATCTCTTGTCAAAAATCCTTTCCTTTTGTATGAGATCGTTGTTTGCAAGGATCATTGACATGTTCTTGTCATTTACTTTACCTATGCTAGCATGACCTTTGTCCATGATATTTCCTTTCCATAGGTCTGCGCTTTTTAACTTGAACCACGTTTCCGTGGCTTTCTTTTTTATTTCTAGATCTAGTAGCATTAGTCTAAGGATGATCCCAAGCTCGAGATAATTCATAATAATAATTTATATCACTTCTTAGTAGATTTTTTGAAATCTTCAATGAATCAAAATGCAGTACAGTAGCGATTACTCAGAGCGACCTAGAACGATCTTGCCCTGGCATGTAGGGGGGTGTCTTGTAAAACGCCTGTCTTGTGCCATCTATTTTTCAATCATGTTACTATCATATCTATTACGACTTACATCTCAACATTTATCAGTTAAGTCTAATTGCATTTATAAATCATAAATTCTTTTCTAAAAGCAGTAATAATCTTTATACGTCATTCACGAATTGGCCTTTCCACCTGTCATTTACCGTGCTTTATTTCTGGAAGCGTGATAGATACACACAGTTTAAGTTTTCGAAACCTATATATATTTTTAACTATGAATACTAAAAATATACATTTAAGTGGGGTTTTTCATACAAAAAATAGGTCACAATATAAAACTGCGTGTATGTTGTTTTTCCCTCGCATCAGTTTTACCTAACTAAATAATATAATTAGAATTACATCAATACATGTATAATCTTCAATGGAGAAATTATTATAATCTGGAAAGTATAATTTAGACACAAGTAATAAGGGTGAAATTACATTGCGCGAGAGTTGCATGCGATGGCTTAAAAAAATTGACGATGACGTATAGGACGTATTGGTTCAAGACCCGCCCGTGTCGTGATAAAATCTAAATTGTTTTTAATTCCCAGCTTACTCAACCAAATGGCGAAGCACTATAAGGACAATTACGTGCAGTTGAGCCTTCGCCATGTCACGGCGATGACGTACTGTGCGCTGTTTGACGACGAATGCCATTTGTACTACAGAGCCTTGTTTCTTAAATTAATTGACGTAAGTATATTCTTATTCAATACTGTTTCAGTACTGGTTACATTTAAATAAAACACTAACGGTTTAAAACACGATATATATTAGTTAAACTTATATATATCGCCTTTTAACCGTTCAAGTATTTTATCAAAATATGTATATTATTGTATTTTTTTCATTGTGTTACAAAAAATATAAATTGATTAGAAACCAAACATTTTTTACTCCTGGACTCGAACCCGCGACCTATTACTAGCAACACCATTAAACTAACGAGACTATTTCTATTTCATAGAATGATACAAGCTTAGCTGAAGTGTTCTTGATTGACCTCGGAGAGACGAGGCTGGTTCATACATGTCGCGTGCAGCCTCTTGCACCACAGTTCTGCATACACGCGCCCTTGGCTCGGTGCTACCATCTAGCCGGGGTAAGTATACTTACAATTTCAACGGTTTAATACGCGTTATATAACATGTAAACCGCCGATGTGCGTGGTGCCCTGCGTTAGAATCCCGGGGAAACAATAGTTTGCTTTAGTCCGGTTTAAATTAATTTGCCTAAACAAAGCGGATCAGTGAAACGGTCACAGAAGTGTGTTCGTCCCATGCCCCAGGAGGGACAATGGAATTTCAGTTATTTGTAACATGTAGCATTCCTATTCGACACACTTCGTTTGTTCTTATCGGTTTAAATAAAACACTTACAGACATTATGCTATGGAGTCATTAAAAAAAATTTAAAAAATACATTCCTTCCTAATCATATTTTCAAAATAAATTACCTCGCTTAAGAAACCAACCCAAATTTTAACTAAAACACTGTTAACGGTCCAAAATGCGAAATATATTTATGCAAAACGTCGGGCACATCAAAAACTGTAAATAAATTATGTAATATATTTTGCGTTTTAAACCGTTAAATTTCTTTTATTCAAATGTGTACTGCAACAAAAGATAGTTTACCTGTAAGAGTACAAATTTTTTCTTATATTAAATTGGAATATATGTATGTAAATTCACCAATATTCATAAATATATATGATAGTGGGATACTATCATATATATTTTATATATTATATGTTAAAAGTCGCGCTGCACATTTACAGGTGGAGCATATCGATAACGAAGACGTGATCAAACAATTTGAACAATTCATGCTTCAGTACCTAGCAACGGACGTCATCATAACGATCGATGACAAGTAAGTATGTTTTATGATAGAGGTGGACAGGCAAGCATGGCTCACTTGCCCAAACATATAACATCTAAACAAGATTCGATGTCGGCCTTTGGTCTTATGGCCTTAGTTATTCGGAAATCCACAGACTGAAACCGTGGTGGTCAGCTTAGGGGTTGTCCATTAATCACGTGACCTTTTTTAGAATTTTTAAACCCCCCCCCCCCCCATTGGTGATACGTAGTGAGATTTAAGACTAATTCCCTAATATTAATTGTTTATTTTTAAATTCACAGCACATCGGAATCTCTTGGTGTATACGTCGAAGTGGTGAAGACCAGGGAGATAATTAACGACTTGGTAGTCGCTGCAGGGCTGGCTGTCAAAAGTGAGACTTATCTGTTAACAAAAGTTTATATTATATGTTATTACTATCTGTGTCAGCGACTTCGTCCGCGTAAAATAGTCATTTTGGACAAAATTTGTTTTTGCCAACCTTCTCCACGTCTTTATAACTTATAGCTGTTACCCACGACGTTCGTTGTCCGCGACGTTCTTGCAAGTTAATTTTAAAAGATAGTAGTATATACTGAAGCGGACATTTTAAAAATAATTTAAAGAGTAATCATTCTTTCATGCATATTTTTTTATATCTTGACCCGTTTTCGCCGCCTACGCAATCGAAACCCACAAGAATTAATAATTTCCCCCGTTTTTCCACATTTCTCGCTATTTCATCGCCCCTATTAGTCACAGCGCAATGTTTTGTAACCTATAGCCCTTCTCTATGAATGCTCTAACCAATACAAACAGATTTTTTTTCAATTAGAACCTAGGAGTTCCTAAAATTAGCGCGTACAAACAAACTCATCAGTTTTTTATATTAGTATATATGTAAACTCATGTGACGACAATGCTAATATTTACTTCGACAGTTGACAAGAACAGTGCTAATAGTTCGCCGAGAAAGGGCATTCCGGAATTGTCGGAAAACAGTTACGACATCGGCCAGGATCCGGAATACGAGGACCCTGTCTTAGCTGTTACGGTAAGTTAGAAAAACATTGATGGAAGGTCGTAATGCCTCAGCCCACAGATTGTAAATCCACAGACTAAATGAAAGTTACGGTTTTTCTGTGGACAGTTAGTGTCCTGGATGTAACTTCGATATTATTTTCATCCTTTCCAGTGTACCTGTGAATGTTTAAATTAAAAAGCTTTGTTATTATTTAACGTTCACATTTGCCAACTTTAGATCTTTTATCATGTTGGACCTGCTAGGAATCGAATCAATCAAACATTTTTAATATATTTCAATATTCTTGTAAACTATCTGCCTTTCAATTAGAAGAAGAATATTTAGATTTCCAATATAAAATTGTTCTTGGGATAAAGAAATAATCTTTCCAAATCTAAACTTTGGTAATGATTATTATAGTAATTCAAAAGTATACAATTTCGTTGTCTCTGTCACGCCCATACAATATAGTACTTGAATGAAAGAGACAAAATATATCAATTCGCACTTTGATTTAATCGTTTACCATTACAGGGTTATCATAATCGAGATGAAGCTGACATCTGTAAGCACTATACGGGTGGACCGCAGAAGACTTGCTTCAAAGGAGCGCGGTGCCAGAAGAAACACATTGTCAAACATCCAGGTAACCCTTTATACCGTTGAATCATTTTATTTATTCAATCACCGTTTAGTCGACGAACGTTCTAAGTATTGTCTGCAGTTTACATGTAGTAAACATTCAAATAAAACATTTGTAACAGTTTAAAACCCAATATATATTAGTTAGCGTGATTTAAATTACAGACAGACCTTTGCCCCCGTGATCGTGACTTATTCAAAGCATCCCAAACGTCAGACTGGAGTAAACATTTTTAAAAATAAGTTAGCTAACTTATTATATAGTGTTCTTAGTATTTTAACTACTAAGTGTTTAATGTAAACTCTATAACTTTTTTTTCGAGTATATATAAAAAAAATATCTCCAATCACGTTTATTTAGACTCTGAATACTAATCCAAGTACATACAGTAACATGTGAGAAATAACACCAGGTCCTATTTACAGACGGCTGGACACTCGACCGCGTGACTGTACCGGGCAAGGTGAATAGCTTGGCCCTCCCCTCCCCCGGCACTTGGCTCAGGGTTATCGTTACCCACGTGGCTCACTTCAACCGCTTCTACGTGCACTTGGCAACCAATAACGAGGATGATAAAGGTTTGTGGCTTCAAAAACAAAAACTGGGCTTCACACATTTTTATTTTCCTCCTTATTGAGAATCATATTTTTTTTTGTATTGGGCCACTCTGGCATTAGCAGCCTTATATGTTTCGCAAAAGGGACTATAGTGACGTGCAAATTGTGCGTTTATGTGAAGAAATTTTTTTTTTATTTCTTTACCGTTTGGGATTGAGAGGAACCAGGTCTAATAAGAAGAAAATTGTGGTACATTAAGTATATGATGACTTTGTATAAAACTTGGCGATATAAAGAGTGGTGGCGAGTTTATTGCCAGTTCTTGTTCACAAAAAATGTCAACTTGAAGATTTCTACTTATAAGTAATTTCTACTTTTCAGCGGAACATCCAAAGTTTGGAGTAATTCTACCGGCAACGACTTTACCCAGTTTGATAAGAGATATGAACAGTCCGGCGACGAAGATATCGTACAAACCACTCGAGGTAAAATGCAGAATATTTAAAAAAAATCGACCGCCTTAACCATTTATATTAATAAAATTAGCCTGTAACTTAGACGTTACCATATATTTGTGCATAGCCAGTCGATCTTCTTTGGTTTCGACTTCATAATTAGAAAAATTGACCCGAGCGCGATTCGAACTTGTCCTCCATGCATTACCTAAACTTATTATTATTGTATGATGATAACAAGGTGTTTTTTTAAATAAAAATGATTCTGTTAAGGTCTTATAGAAACTATTAAGTTCCTAACACTGAATTAAATAGTATTTAATGACAAGAAGATTCGAACCCACGACGAACAGCTAATTCTTTCTCCTCTAATTGAGCTACAGCGTCACTTCTTGTTATGACTCTCAACCCCTTTGCACGGATTTTGGACGCTGTATATTGTAACCTTTGGCTAATTCATATGGCTTTAGGTTGTTGATAGTAAAGTGAATTATTTACAGTTGGCGCCAGCGCCGGGCGAGTTAGTAGCAGCCTTATATCCCCCAGACGAGCAATGGTACCGCGCAAGAGTTACGGACTACGATAGGACGATCCAAAGCGTGGAGGTTAGATTAACGTTTCCCACTCTAAATATATATATGTATATATATTGCCTTTAAAGTACTTAAAACAGTGTTGCAATATTGTTACTTTAAAAATGACGCTCATGTGTAACCACATGTGACGTCACGTCGCAGTTAGCGGAAAATAAGTTGTGATTGCCTACGAATGACGTCACTCACCGTGATTTCGATACAGATTAAAAATGTATTAGAAGTTTCTTGGACCCGGTGGGGAACGAACCTGCGACCTGTTGATTATTACGCTTACATTGCTACCACTGCACCAAAGAGCCACTTCTTTTTTCCCTAAACCAATAATCAAATCATATTTACGTTAATATCTGGTCTGTTTTATTATAGGTCTTCTTCATAGACTTTGGGAACACCCTTTGGGTGAAAGAGGACAAGATTCGATGCCTCGACACGCGGTTCTTGGTACTCCCCGCTCAAGCGATGGCGTGCGTCTTGGGAAGGGTGAAGACGATTAACAAAACAGTTTACCAGATCAACACCTATCTTGAGCCTGCTCGTGCGCATCTCGAAAAGCTTATACAGGACAGGAAGTTCGAAGCCTATGTCACGTGAGTTATTTTCATTACGGATGGAATCCATCTTTAATTTAAAGTATGTCCTATTGACACGTCTACGGGTTCAAATCCCAGCTAATCAAATCAAAAATAATCGAAGGAATCGAGGAATAGGAGCGAGCTATAAACAATTTTTACTTTTCTTATTCGTTGGCATGACAAGTCATTATTACCTGTCATCTCAATGTCTCATTTAATAAGGATATAAAAAAAAAATAACGTCTAGCCATTTTATATCATCGGCGAAAGCAAGTACAAGTAAGGTGTTATTTTTAGATCGACAAACTACGATAGCATTACAGTGGACCTTTGCGATGAGACCGGCCACAGTGTGGCGGACGCTCTCGCGAAGACCAAACTAGTCCAACTCTATGACTACGTGACGGAAGAAGACACTACGGCCCAACAGAAGATGGTCGTGCCATGAGGTGCATTCAACGAAACCGGTCAATCGATAAAAAAAGAAGGAAAAAATCTTAACATGGCCTACCCATGTTAAGATTTTTTCCTTCTTTTTTTAAAAACTTAAACTCCTTTCTACAAACAGTCCTAATGTAATAAACGTTTAGTTCTCTTCGAAAAGTGAAAAGAACATTCCACGTGTGTGAATTATACTGTGTTAGCCACCTTAGGCTAAACGCGGTGCCGAAGGCATAAGAGTCCTGGGTTTTAATCATAAGGAAATTTTGACGGGTATTAATTTAAAGATAACAATGTACTGCTAATAATCAACGGGTCCCTACCGAGACGAACGTCTTTCAAAACGAATTATATTTGTTCTATAACATGTACTACGTCTGAAAGTCTGGATGTTAAGTGGGTGGTTACCGTCCACAGATGGAACAGCCGTCAAGTTTCCGAATATTCAAAGTAGGATGTCAGCGCATTTTGTTTTGATATTTTAATTATTGCACCCAATATCGAGGAAACCCTTAAAGATGTTTGTCTTTCTTCCTTCTATCATAAAAAAATCAATAAATTGTTTCAGTCGGGCAGAGTACTGGTACAGGTCTGATTAACTACTGTAAAATGAGGGGAAAGGAGATCTCACTACAACTAATTTTATAGTATCTTAAGGTTTTTTGAGGCATTTTAAATGCCCAACACGACAATGTCCTGTGACAACACATATGGTTACAGAATTTTATAATATTTTTTAAGGTACACGTTTTAGTATTCCTTAAGAACGCAGCCATATATGTAAAATATTTGGACAGCTTTAAATAAAACATTTATAACGGTAAAAAACTCGAAATATATACACAACACGTCCTTGGTGACCATTGCTGCTGTTACTTAGAACCGACTCTATCGGTCTAAACGTTGTATATTTTGTATTAAGATGGTTAAATTCAAGATATCTTTAATAACGTTATGTGATTTTAGAATCACAATAATGTTGGCGATAAATATTTTAAGGCATTGTGATCTGCGTGATCTCAAGATTATTTCATAATGTCTTAGGTTCTTAATAAGTTAAGAAGAATGCCTTGGGTAGTGTTAACTCATTTTTGTAAGAGTTATTTCTATAAAAAAAGAAAATAAAGTTGTTTTTTTGTTGAAACATTATCTGTATGTTAATGTGGATATAAAAAAAATGGTACATTTCTTGCCAGCTTTATTATGTCTGATCAAACAACGATAAAAAAGTTGCACAGCCCCCCTTTAAAATATAAATAATATTTTTGATATAATGATGTATTTTATTTTTCACGTCGCCATCCAGACGCCTACTTAGGTTCGCAAGTTTGGTATCAAGTTATAAAAGACCCTACTCGCTACAATTGATATTTTTTAGATACAATTATTATGTTTTGAAACTATATAGATTTATTGATTTTAACATGGCAATTTAAAACTTCATTATTTTTTTCTTAAGTTGCTTCACAAAGAAGAAACAATTGAACACTTGGAAAAATAAGTTATTCAATGAAACAAATAAACCGTTATAATTCACGATTTATTAAATAAACACTTTACACGATTATTTATATTTCCATGAACCACGACTATAAGACTTCGAATTACATTAACAATAATAAAATATGCTATCGTTTTTAAATAATCTACCATATTTTAACAAATATTGGAACTGTATATGAATGCTTTGATTTATTCCAATGAATGATATTAGAAATTTGAACACTCATGTTAAAAAATTAATCTACATATATAAATAGCCTTATTATAAAACATTTGCTTCAGACACCAAAACCGCATTGAAATCACTGCCACAACGTGCCATTGTTAAAACTTAGAATGAAAAGAATGTAAAACTGCATCGGGACCAGAGCGTACCGCTGCGATCGAATTTTCTCAATTATTTTATAGATAACGAACAATATTAAGAAAACATGCAAAAATGGCAGCTTTCAAAATAAATAAAAGGCACTTATAACTTGTGTAGTTAGAGAAATAATCTCTAAATGGACATCGCCGGTTTAATGCTTTCTCGCTCATACATAGCTCGCTCTCTCGTCTGTCATTTAATTTGAACTTTTGGAATTATTAAAGCAAGAGTTTAAAATTAAATTACTGCTTTTCAAATATTACTAAAATATATTTAATAATGGTAAATATGTTATCTTCTAGAGGTATAAAAGTTGACTATTATTTGGTCAATTTATGAGTTAATTGTTAATTTTTTACTGACTGACCCCCCATTAGACACTGTTCCTCTAACCCAGTGTCTCGCAAACTGTGTTCCGCGGGAGAATGTTAAGTGTGCCGCAAAAGATTTTCCAAGTTGCACTAGATATTCTGAGATTAATCTATAAACCAATTTCTGATAACTATAAAATTACCCAAAAAGTAATAATTTAACTTTAACTAAATAACCCAGAACGCAGGTACTCGTAACAACAAGATGCACAAGCGAGGGCGAATTGGTTAGAAAAGCACTGGGCGTGGTTTTTCCCCCACTCAACGTATTTAATAATGTAATTTAGCTTAGTGTGCTGCGGAAAAAAAAATCATCAGTTAGCGTGCCGCAGACTAAAAAAGTTTGCGAGAGACTGCTCTAACCGTACAAGTTATAACAAATTTTCATTTCGTTTACCACACATCTAATTTCCAGTTTTATAATAAGGCTAAATAAGTCTAAGCATTTGTATTTGTAGGACAACATAGCTACCATAATTTACATCTAATAAAAATATCACACATTTTATAAACTAGAACCATAGCACTGAGTAAATATATTAAAAACATCACTTCATAGGCTATGGGATTATAAAACTTTAAAACCTTGGTCTGCGAATATACATTAAAAGATGACTAGAAATTTTGTATCACACAAGCTAAGTACAGCGACTACAATAAAAAATTAGCTTTCGGCCACAAAGAGTTTTGGTAACTCTGTTTCGAGTCTAATTACTCTCACTGTGGAGGTCAAATGCCAGTTATCATATGGGTCTGGTTTTTTGTTGCTGTAGGTCTCCGGTGGTACAAATGTGCTGTAATACGAGATGAGCTCATGAGATTGGTCACCATCCAAGTCGGCTATAGTCAGAGATCGTTCTTGGTATTCCAGATCTGGTTGGCACGTGGGTAACGGTGCGTTGGCATTGATTTGGCCACGAACACATATTTGCAATATGTCCGTTTGACTGACGTTCGCATGGATGTACGTTTGAAGGTTGTCGAAAGCGACCAAAACGATTCTTTCCGATATATCGTGGGCGACAAAGTTATCGTATTTTATAAATGAGGATATTGATTCAACGTTGACTGTTGGCCGGTGGTAGAATATGTCATAGGTGTTCTTCGGGCTAGTATTCTGCACATTATACCTTATCTCATCGATTTTCAGTGCACCCTTAGCTAGGTGTGCACTGTTCCACTGTCATAATTTCAGGACGAAACCTCGTATGGAGTTCGGAAAGGCAAAAACACTCGGCCGCATAGCAAACACATGATTGGCCGTATACTCCCAACTGACATTGGTTGTTCCATTTCTCTCAAGCAATAACTTCAGACTTACCTTACAGGAACTTGGACATTCACCATAATTTTCTACTTGCAATTTTCCAGGACCGTTTGAAAATACTTGTTTGGTGTTTCCTATATTCTTTTTTAGACTTAGATTGGCTCTCTTAGATGCGACAAAAGCTGGTGAAGTGTCATTTGAAAAACGATCCAACTTCAATAGTTTTCTATACAAGTCTGGGTATACTATCTGTCTGACGGCTTCGGAGGATCCATTTTTACAAATATATGTAATGTTGCCAACTTCAGGGAGGAGTTTGACTGACAAGCAGTTATCTATTGTCATGGGATCACCGATAATGTTGCCAGTTGCCCCAGAGATAATTAGAAGGGAGTTGTGGTTAGTGCTGGGATAAACTGTTGTAATTGTTGCGAGATCACTGACATTATCCTTATCCATATCGTTAATGATAATAGGAAAATCTATAGATGCAATATTGCTGAAGATTTTACCTTGCTTGTGAATATACCAATAATAAGTACCAGATAGAGGATTTAGAGCAGCTAATAGTCCCTCTGTGCCGGAGATTATACAATCTTTCTGGGCATCTTTATTGACATCGAGAAGATTGCAATTAATCTCCATTGGTATTCTACTTTCACGGGTATACCATCCGACCTTACCAGTGTTACCCACAATGAGAAGTACCCCATTCACATTATCATTATTGTTTTTATTATTTTTCATGTGGTTGCCTCTGTATATGAAAATAAGATTCTTTGTATTAGGAATAGCACCGTCTACTACCTGAACAGCTCCAGAGAGCTCAATTTCATCATAAGGTAGTTCCCAGCTAGTGCTTTTGTCGTGCCATTCATTTGTACAACTTCCAACATCTGAACAGGGTATACCCCAAAGGAATATCACTACAGTGAAGAGACAAAGGAAAATAGACGCTACGAAGGCGCACCGGCGCGGGAAAGACATCTTGTTGGAAACATCAGACTGCAAGAAACTTACATTATCCATTGTACTCTCCATTGTGTTAAGATTGGTATTATAATCGTCCATATCGCTCAAACTGTAGTTCTTGGACGATTGTAAGCCGCTATTGTAGTCCAGGTTACTGTTCTCTGAGGCCTTAATGCGAAGAACATTCTGCACCTTTTGTTCATCTTCAGAATCTGAATCGGACACTAGCTGCTTCAGAGGTGCATAAGTGCCACTGTTTCCATTGGTGGTCATGACTAAAGAAGCCTCTTTCTTACATGGTTAGCTGAAATATCAAAAACACTTTAACACACCGACAAAACTTTCACATGGAAACTATGCCTATTGTGTTAACTATTTCCTAAAAATCAATACCACACAAATCGTATGTTTCTATTTCACCGCTATCTCAAACGTCAGTCAATGTCACCTTATCAGATGACAGTTGACATTGACAGTTAAAAGTGAAGTGTTGATGATTACATAAGAAGGTATCAAATTAAGATGTTGGATTAAAAATGTATGAATTTATGATCTGTAAACAATTGGGAAGGGATTATTACAATTTTATAAAAGTTTTAAGAGGGACATCAATACTTTAATTACAAAAATCAACCTTAAATGAAAATATGTGTATTAGGAACTTGGAGTATTTCAATTTTTTCTTAAAAGGGCATTTATAAAATAACAACAACGTAAGGCTTGTGTATATTTCTTTTATATAAATTATTTCCAGTTCTTTTCATACATTAGTCTATAAACATTAAAACACAATTGTCTATTATGTCACACTTATTTTAATTGGTGCTTTTGACCTTAATAACCAAATACATGCGTACATTTTGAGGCTGACATCACCGATTGACTAATACAATAAATAATTTAAAACACCAGTGATTTGTCTACATATGAGCACATACACCATTATCTTAGGATTATAAAAATAATATATTGGTAAAATAAGCATTGTGATAACTACACATACAAATATTGTATGGCTGTTATCTACTTGTTATACTCAACTTCCATCTATTGTATAAATGTTCATCTAAGACGTATCCGCCAAGGCTGTGGTAACCTTTAAGAGACGTAGACCGTGTACATAGTGACGTGCACACTCGTAAAGTAATCAGTTCATTTAATGCGCGAATGACGAAATGTCGTTTACAAATTTTGCGTATGACAGCAGCAAAGTTAAATTCTTCAATGTAAACATCGCAATGCATGCGATCTACCGCTTTTATGAGACCACAGCCTAACACGCCAGTTACACGACCTATGTGCAAAAATATAAATTTGACGCTTACGCTAACACTATTGAGATTATAGAAGGTACGTTACATAGTGAATGTCACTAGCCATGCTCATGCGGCGACCATTAGATGGTCGTTAGTGTTCAACATACATTGCATTACACTAATTAAAATTAAGAAATAAATAGGTATTTACAGCTCAGCCTCAAAAACATCCCGATTTAATATCAGTTTTTACACCTCGGATGGCACATATACAAGAAACGTTGTGATATGGATGCATATATTTACATAGGAACAAGAGAACAGTATTAGCGTTTAACCTATGTTAGTCGAGGAATAAATAAATAAAAATATAAGCTCTATAATAGTGTGATGATATACTTATTATAATGGACAAGATCCGGCATCTGTTCGGTAGACGGTATGGGAAACTGTACATTCAGTCTTGCATTACATTATATACAGACAAACCGTTTGAGTCCCACTTTCAATACTATCAAATACTATACATATGTTAGTTAAGGAGCCCGCCTTAATACTAGCATCCGGTGTTGTCATGCACAAATTCACTAATTTCACTAAGGGCAGATCTATGTTAGATTGAGTAGGGGTATTCGCCGAGGTACTCTATAAGGGTGGAAGGGAGGGGGAGGAGCCTATGTTTGGGTGCCGTCCAGAGCTTGGGGGTTAAAGGGTTGGAGTCTAAAGTTTTGTGGATAGCTAGACGAGCTGAGTGGAGTAGGGTAGGGGGGGATTTTCTTAGGGCCGTTCTGAGGAGGACGGGGGAGTGTGCACATCCCTCGCGGTCGACCCAGACTGTGCCAGCCGCCCCTCGCTCCCCTAGGCGTGTGTAGTGCTGAATAAGTTCGACAACACAGCGGAATCTCGGCATGAACCTCGCTAAAGGTCTGTCACAGTCAAACCTGGAAAGAGAGAAATATATTATTAGATGTAAATAGTAGGATGAAGTATATTATATATAGCACCTCTCTGATAGAGGTGAACACATTTTTGTGGTTGTTGCTGATAGATTGTATTATACATATCTCATTAATCGGGTTGTAACAAATTATTGTTTCCTCGGGATATGAACCCAAGATCTTTCACGCTTTCCACACGTTTAACTACTAAGCTTCGAAAAAACGTAGACATAGTAAACAATATTCTCAGTCAAGATTTTCACTTAAACTTTGAGGGTAGTTATAACTTTTTATAAAGATCTTGATATATTTCGCAGTAAATGCATAAGCCTGACATCAAGTAGGTAGATCGCGATTAGCTGTATACTAAGCGGTAACGTCAAAGCCATACAACCCAGAAAAACCTCGCTACTAGGAAGTATTACACGCCCCCAGCTAGGATTAACACGCATTACCATTTGTACTTTATTGTTTCCTCAATATTTACCTTGTTTGCGTAATCCTATATATTATTCAATAATTATTGATTCTCTATGTTATTGACTGAGGTTAGAAGAAATGCGTGTATTATAAGAATTTACGTTAATCAATCAATTAAATACTTAGATGGAGTAAAAAAAAAATTAAAGCGTTTTGTTAGAAAAAAAATAGTTTTCAGAAAATTCACGTGTTATGTTAGTTTTTAAAATCCGTCTACACTATAACATAACTTATGATATAAGAGATTATTTTGAAAATTTAATAACATCGCAAACTTAACATCATTTCTAGTGAAATTAGGAACTTCGCGTCTGGTAACCCAATCAGCCGGCAAGTATATTGACTCGACGCGTTATCAACAGCGTTATAAATTACGTAAATAAGTTCGATGAATGGAATCTGAGTGTTTACGCGAATTTCATTAACGAGCCTGACTCCGTGGTCGCTATTATAAATCTAGTTTTCGTATGCATTGCGGTTTGTAAATATTTGCCGAATTGTTATTAGTTAAGTAAATCTATATATATGCAGAAGTTCTACATCAGTCGCTCATATTAATGTTCTAAGAAATTTGTTTTACGTTTTTTTTTTGTTTTTCTATTTATTGTATGATATTTCATTTAATTTGCCTCAATATAAAGTAGTCTTCTTGGAGAAACCTTCAAGTCTTCGAATGCCAAAACTATGATCTACTTCTTAGTATCGCGTTGTTTGTCTGATTCACTCGAAACGATAACACACTAATCTCATAAGCTAATACGGACTCGATAGCGCATTTACGTCAATATGACGCAAATTCTTATCGCTAAACTCTTCGTATAGATTCATAAGGAGATGTGTCTTCATTAATAAAAAAAACAGGAAACGCATTAGGTACACTTTAGAGATACATTTACCCACAATTTGGTCGTATTAAGCAAGATCCACGCTTTATTGACAACGATTTCAGAAAGATTTACAAAAGTACTTAATTCTGTTTTCAATATAATAGTAACAATAAGATTAAGAAGGTGAAAATTGAAAAGAAGTTTTCCCATTTCTATCTTGGAAAAGCATTGTACTCTATTAAAAACATGTTTTTCGAGTCTATGTACATTCTAATTTCAGTGAATAGATAAGATTCCCACTATCGGGTACACTTGCCGATAATCTAGAATCAGCGATAAGTACCTGAAGAAGCCTTGCTCGTAGTGCATGCGCACGGAGGTAGGTCCTCGCTCCGTCTGCACTGAGAGTGAGAATATGAAGTTTCTATCTCTCGAATCCCGGATGACGAAGGCACCGACGCTGGCGTCCTTGAGGAGGTTTCTCGCACCCTGAAATTCAATTATACTTATTAGAAAGATTGAAGTTAGGACCACAGGATGAAACTGTAATTTGTATCAACTTAGTTTAAAAATTACTATAGTATTTTATGTGTACTGTAATATTTTAGATTGACGTTAGTGTAAGATTTGGTATCTCAATTATTTTACCAGCAGCATGTTCAAACTCCTGAATAAGGTGTCTTTTTGTATTAAAATTGAAGTTAATTTTGAAATTATCATGTGAATATGAAAATAATAATGTTACTAACAACACCCTATTTTTTACAACAATACACAAGACATACAATTATATGTATCATCATATAAAATCATTTACATATAGATTCTCAGAAAATAATATTCATAATATATAAATTTATGCAGATTGCACAGCCCTATCGACATATAAGTCTTTATCTTTTTGAACATAAAAATAAATTACTGTTGTATATTCTGAGAAGCATTTTAAATATAAAATATCAAACAAGGTTATTTGAATACTGATAAACGTTATTATGTAATCAAGATGTTTTCTAGGAAAATATTACATAAAAATGTTGTTGTGTCTGTATGTGGATTGCTGTTATAATAATAAATGTAGTATGTCAACTAATTCACTTGTGATTTTAATTATACTAAAGTACATATGTATAAAAAATGTATGCAAGCAATATTTTATATCCTATCTATATTTGTCCTATGTTAACAAATATTATTAATTCATCAAATCATGAGACTAAACTTACATATGACATATAACGTAAAAAAAAACAATAACCAAATTTAAAATACTGATAGTTATAAAATTGTATTGTTAGTAGCATTACACAATTTTCTATGTGATGAAGATAGTCCGTATTATGTGGAATCTATATCCTATATGTACTGTTTTTGTAAAGATGAGTGTAAACATTACCTCAAATATACTTATTAAGGTAAGGAACTAATAAGAACAGATAAGTATGTCATAACATACTAATCTGGATATATAAGAGCCGAATCAATCCACACAGCGCAGAAAGGTCAAGAATTAGGACTGATTTCAGGCATAGTATATATTCTACTCTATCAAATAGCAACCCATGTTACTTTTATGACAAATTTCTCAAGAACCCAGTAAATATTTACAATTAAGGTATGTAGATAAATTATATATGACTAGTAGGACTTTATAATATGCTAAAAAAGCAAATATATAATAATATCAAATTACCTGCCAATCCAAATTGCCATAGTACCATCCGGATAATCTCAACGCCTTGAGAGTATCCGCCAGCCGTCTCAACTCCTCATTATAAGGAGCTGGTAGAGGGGATGGTACTGTATATAGTGAATGTGGCAAGTATGGCTGGATTGTGAAGGGCGGTGTTAACGGCGTCGTGGGTTTTGAACACGAAAGGGAGACACGAAGCTCGTGTCGGCAGTTTGGACAACAGGCTACGCCATTTGACCAGTTGTTGAGGGGCACCCCGACTTCGACACACGCATCTGCAATTAAAAAGAGACTTAGCAAGGATAAAAAATTGTCTTTCTTTTAGATATGGCACATAAAAGCCGAATCCCCTTTCTCTAAGGCATAAAGAACATTCTAGCGTCTTGTGTGTAATTTCTTCTCAGTTGACACCATTATTTTAATTATTTTTTAATGACTAAGTAAAAAGATAATAGGTTTAATGAACTACTGACATAAATTAGAAAAATAAGAAAATATGTCATAAAATGTGTGCTTGTTACAATTATATTACATTTTACATTATATCATTTCATCTCATCTATTTTAGTCACACTAGTCTTACTCTTCCTTATAATATACAATAATGTCGAATACCTTGCTGTTCAAAGCATTTTTATTAATTAATAATACTTCACAACTTTTTAATTAAACATTCTAAACAAGCACTATGAATTCTTAACAATTTCATTTAATACAAAGATTTCGTCACATTGTTATCTATTTTAAGCAAGTGTTTACATTGATAAATTACAGTATTTACGTTCTTATTTTTGGATATAGCTTAGCTATCACACTTCCAATACATGACTCACTATCTTAGGGACTTTCGACTACTTATCTATAAATTGTATTCACATGAAAAATATTATTTAATATTTCAAGTTTATCACACGATAAAAAGAACATACAGAACTTAATAGGTCTGGTATTAAGGTTTTAATTAAACAAGTTGCTAAGTACGCAGCGAAGATAACATAACCTCAAAACAATGTTTACATGGAACGTAAATAGTTCCAAGAACTTATAAATAGACTGAACACTCACTTTGAGTAGGTAATCTCGCTATCGTCATGTTCAATGGAGGAATTTTTGCCTCGCGCCTCTCAATCAAACACATTTGCCGTTCCGGTGGACTTTTACTTGTTCCACCTGTCTGCTCTTCTGAGGCCACGGTTTAAGAACAACACGAAAACAGTAATTACTAATTGTTTTTAACCTCGCACAACTTCAACACATAAACCTTGTAACAGAACAACTTTCACTGTGCATTATTCGATACAAATTCCACTCTCGCTGTGGCGGCAAGCTTTGGCATCGGAATTCACAAAACGTCAAAATCGTGAACTTTCCAATTTGACACTAGTGATGAACAAAATCCAGAGACTAAAGTGTCGTATCTTCAATCGAATCGTAATTGTAAAAGGGTATCCTAAAAGACGATATATTTTAAGTGTGACTAGTGGTGAACACGACTGAACTGCGCGACGCTTGAACGAACACTAACCGTAGGCCGTAGCTACAGAAAATCGTAAATACACTGACTTGTAACTGAGTGTAAAAAGGGGGGTCACGCGGGAGAACGCACTCCGCATACAACGGTGCGCAGCGACTGAGACGGGTGACTGCTGCCTTCGACTCAAATGACGAAACTCGACCGTTCAATGTTTCCGAGAATTCATTCACAAACGAACAACAATTATCTCGTTATCTAGTCATTTACTTGAATCTTCATTGTATTGTTTGTTTGTGCCAATAAAATTTCTGCGTAAGACAACATTCATATTATTTCATACCTACTCTATATACTTATAAATGAATGCAAAAAAAAAAAAATAGTTCTAGAAAAATAATATCTACAAGTAATAACAAACATTTTTAAGCTTAAACTATGTTATAGACAAGACAATAGTTGAGCGATTACGAAGATTGACAGTGCAGATCATTTTAATATCCAACTGCAAATTATACAGCAGGTGTAAGTGTACGAAATTCGGTCGTAAATCGGCACCACAACGAGTGAATTTTCAGTAGGTAGTGCGATTATATTTGGCGTTCTCAGAATCCCCTACCTGCATTCAAAGCTTTCACATCCAAGAACCATCTGCCGTTTGTATAGCTGCGTGCGGAACGACAGCTGCACGTAGTTTATTTATTGCATTAATAATACCTCCAGATAATATGACCCCCATTTTCATTTAACGATTATTGTAGTTAGAAATCATCCATGAGCTTAATTGAAGCAGCTGCTGATATTTTTTCTTATTGAGGATTTTGCTTCCGTATGATATTGGTAGTTTGTTAGCATCGATACGAGATGGACAAAACAATGAGCTATAATATAGCTTTTTTAACCTTTATTTTGGAAACGTGTTTTTTTTTGCCGGACTATAGAGTTCTACGGTTTTCTGCTTACTGTCGGAATCACAGCACTGTTAGATTTAGGTCCGGTCTCGCCACTAGCAAAATAAATATAACTTTTTTTTTTTAATTAATAATTATTAAAGTGTTAAGTAAGCTGTGATTCGGTTTACCTGCTAAGATGGTTTTTCCGAAAGCAATGTGGTTTCAAATGAACTCGTAATTTTATCCAATTAAAACACGTTTTGGATACGTGAAAAATTAAAAAGAAGCAATCGTGTTCCAGGTATTCAATTGAACTTGAGTAATGCTTAAATATTAAAATATTGTTTTCGTAATGTATTCCGTTTAGTGTTTACTTTTACCGTAATGGTGGTTAAGCGTAGTTCTCAGAACTGTAAGGTTCGCCGGCGGAAGTCAAGAAAGCACTTCGTTTCGAAGGAACGTCTTCTTCGTCGTATTAGTGTCACTTCTTAAGCAAATTTTCTTTATATGACATTAATTAAATACAACTCTTCAGAATTAATAGTTATAACTTATTATATTTTACATAGGATAACAAAATTGTATAAATAAATACAATACGTTTAATATATTCCAAAGCGTGCAAACGAGTGTCCTTATGAGAATCGCGCCATAACAAACTCTTCTAGGAATAATGTGATTGAATAAATGCGAAAGGTAGTTGAACTGAAAAGACGATTTCTAATAACTATCTTTTGCGCGTGGAATATTTTTTCATCATCTCACAATTTCTTTAAGATATCAAAGATTATTAATTTTGTGTTGTATAAAAACATAACAATTCCGTCACTAATGCCACAAAGTTATGATAAAAAGAAAATAAGCTGACTCATGATACAAAACGTGCATGTAAAAATTGTGCATTTTTTACCACAGACTGCCGCACTTGGATAGGAATGATGACAATTGACATTTCGAGCACAATTAAGATATAGATCTACAAAGACAACGAGTATAGAACGTTCAACAAAAAAGAGGTCTTTCGTTACAAATGCCACCTAATAAAAAGACATCGCCAAGTCTCTATTTCCAGACAATCAATTAATATACATTCAATAATACAATAGCCATATAAGTAGAAAGTCGCGCCCACATTTGTTTGTTCTTCGACATTGTTAGTGCGAGGTTTTCTCGAAATTCTATATTGTGTGACAGTGTCTTTCTAAGAAACGTCTTTGTCGCTATTTATGAAGTACTCGTGTATTTCATAGTACACCTTTGACTTGATACTGGGAAAAATATGAATAATACCTTTTGCACGAGCGGCGAAGGCTCCGTTACGGCTTATAAAGAGATTTTATATTAAAATGGATAAATTAATGGTTGAGATAAATTTACAGGCACTCATTATTGTCTGAAGTGTTGTTTGGTAAGATAAACTTAAAACAATATTTTGTTCCAGATACTTAACCGTTTCTTCGAAAACGTGGGTGCCATTGTATTATTTAGGATAAGATTTCACGTAGAAATAAGCGAAGTACCTAATAAATTAATACATTATTATTTTAAGTGTAAAATAATTCTTCGAATTTGAAGTCTAACCAGCCAGAGTAGCATTTTTAATTGAAAAAATGAAAGATTGACTATTTTATATATTATGTCAAGCTGAGCCAGAAAAAAAATGAAATGTAGAAAATTACTGACCCTGAAACTTACCTGAGAAATATATGTAACGCATTTCACTAACCAGATAGTCAATTGGAAGAATATACTTACTTAGTTATTCGTCGCTACCACAACGTATCATCACGATTGCGAGAATTGTGAATGATTTCATCATTTATCTTTATTAGACTGCGTATCGCCTGAATCTTGGGTCGTTAATCTCCTTCACTTCATTAGTATGAGGGTTTATCAATGTCAAGTCTAATCAATTAGTTCAACTTATTCGACAGGAGGTAAAAAGATACAAAGGATCTTTAAAAATAACTTTCCTGATCTATATAGGGAGATGTAAGTGTTTTAACAAGACTATGGTTTAAATAAAACATTTTAACGATGCTACACAGCAGAGGGATAATATTTAAAAACAAAATCGCTAAATACTTCGCATTTTAAACCGATACGTATTTTAATTTATATTTTTTATGTAAGCTACAAACAATGTACCTATAATTAGATAGATACCCTTCGCCGTTACATATTTTTTCATAAATATTTATGCCTAGTTTCCAACTCCTCGATGAAGTAATAGTCGATGTTCAGCAAGTTTTAATGATCAAAATAATGACACCAAACACGAAAGAATAATATAGATAGGAAATTTTCCGATGAATGCAACAATTCACATAAAATATAGTAATGTCGTCATTTTTAAATTAGACATTAAAAAAAAATTACCGGTTCGTTATTCGTGAGGATAAACTTTTTTTTATTAATAAAAGACGTTTTATTCACGTTCATTAGAATAAGACAGAGCTTATTTTGTAAGTGTTAGAATCGTAATACTAGGCCGTATTTCCGTTCCACAGAAATACATACTGACTCATAAGCCCAAGTTCCTTTGTTTTATATTTAACTGGCCTTGTGTTAAAAACACTTTTCCAAAGTGAATGTGAACGACGACACTTGTAAAATTAGTAACCTCCTACTGAAAATCGCTGTAGTAACAATTTTTTCCTCATAATCATAAAAAGTTACATATTTGCCTATCAGATTAATTCTATGAAATTAATTAGTAAAGCAGGAAAAGAGAAGTTTAAATCTCTGTATTTGTTACATCTATTTGTAAACACATCATTAATATTTTTAATATCTAAGTTAAAATGTTTTGTTTAAACCAAATTTTAATTTATAATACAGTTATTTATGAGAGATAAAAATATTAATACTTTTTATTTTAATTCTTATATTAATACATATTATACCAATAAAATATCTATGAAGTCAACATCCGACTTAAATTAAAATATTAATATTTTGTTTAAACAGCTGTTTTTTGCGACTTGTCGATTCGACTGTACAAGAAGCGTCACGTTGAAAAAGATTTCACATCACATGAAGCAGGAGAATTGTTCTCGGAAGGCGATTCAAATGTTCCGCGAATAATCGCACGTCGATATTAAAACACAATTTGTATTATTACAATATCTTGGATATAAAATCCGGGCCGTTCCGAGAAGGAGGTCTAATAAAGACTTTCGATACCTTAATTGCTTCGATTACAAGAATTTGCAACTGCTCGCTAACTCCTGTTCGCGTTTTTGTCTTTTTAATGGTGAGTCAGCGTTTGGCCATCGACGTATCGGACGTGAAAACTAAGACTTTATTCTTAGGACCACTTTTATTTTTGACTTGAGACTGCATAAGACAGATGCGTGTTTAACAAATGCTATATATGCAATAGTTGCTAAACAAACAACTATTTATATCTACGCTTAACGAGCAAAAATTAACAATTTGAAGTGAAATTTCGACGAAAAAACACAAACATTCACAGTACGCGGGATTTTAATTATTTTAGCCGTCAAATATGCATTCTCGCAATTGAAAAATTGTTTCAGTTTTTTCAGTAATTCTTTTGAATTGAATGGAGCTTTCAGAATACCAAAGCTCATCACAGGTCTAGACAGTTTCTATTACGAACAAAGTAAATACAATTTCGTTCTGCGAACAATATTCTTTTGCGTTTCGATGTTAAAAAAATCATGTAACTTATTTAAAGTAAACGAATACTTCAATCAGACTTCCTGGGAATAAAATTTGTTGAAATAATTTTGTCCTCTGTTAATAACTTTTAGACGTGAATATATTAAATATTATAATGTCAACGTTCTGTATTACAGTCTCAGTAATTAACTTCTTAAGGAAGAAATTAATTTACTCTCTTTGTGAATTGTTTGCCCGCTTTCTTTATATCTTATTATTCTATATCTATATTAGGTATCCTATTTCTTTTTAATACAAGCTTTAAATGTGACATTTATACTTTTACTATATTTAGTCTTGTCATCCCACCTAAATATACAAGATATTAAGTATTGTGTGTAGTTCACGGGAGTAGTACACAGTCAAATAAATCACATTGAACTGTTTAAAACGAGAAATGCTTAGTCAAGTCACGGTCAGAACAGTCCTCCCGTGACCATGGTTACAGAAAAGCATCGGGAACATCGGGCCGTAGTTAAAATATATTGTGTACAGACTCTGTTTAGAAGCCATTATATCACTAATACAGATAACATACGTAAAAGCTGTATTATGATACAGATAACGTTATAAGTATTGTCAAACGAGCAGGACAGATAAGGTTAGGGTTTACTTGATGGGAGGCTACCAATGTAGGCGCAGTGTGTATACGTCGCTTTGTAACCAGTCTTCAATGAACTTTGATTTCCAGGGAGAAGCCCTCCCCAGTCTCCCTGGGTCCGCCCATACCCGCAAGCTACGTTCTACTCATTAAGTGACATAAGATAATTATTTAGACTTCCAAGATATCTGGAAATAATATATGAATGCTGTTCCGTTATTCAGTTACTGCATTCACGTTTACGAATTTCAATACAATTGCAACTTTCAGAAATTCATTTGCACACTATAGTCGGTTGTCTTGAATCCGGTTTGAGCTAGTTTATGGTGAATGTAATTGTAAATACCGACGTACATTGTTTTAACCATTATACAGTATGTTGTTATAGTTACCGGGACTCAGCCACTCAGTACTTTATGAAATAGAACATCACAATATTTACTAGCACGTGTTTGAAAGTTATCGTAGTATGTCTACACTTTTAAAAACCTCTCACATCCGAGAGGAGTCGTCAACCCAGCTGTGGGACATTGGTGACAATGGGTTGACATATGCTGT